AGACACCCATGTACCCAAGAGCCGGGCCACTAAAGAACATCAGGACAACCAACAGGCGGATCAGGCTGCCAAGATTAAGGTGTCCCAAGTAGATCTGGACTGGCAACATAAGGGTGAACAATTTCTGCCTCTCTGGGACCATGACTCAAGCCTCAAGCCATCAGGGAAGAGATGTGACATACAGATGGGCTCGTGACCAAGGGGTGGACTTAACCATGGACGTTATTGAACATGTAATCCATGAATGTGAGACGTGCTACGATCAAGCAAGCCAAACGGTTAAAGCCCATGTGGTATGGAGGATGATGGTCAAAATATAAATATGGGGAGGCCTGGCAGATTGATTATATCATGCTCCCACAAACTCGGCATGGCAAACACTATGTGCTTACAATGGTGGAAGCAGCCACTGGATGGTTGGAAACTCATGCCATGTCCCATGCCGCTGCCCAGAACACCATTGTAGGCCCTGAGGAGAAAGTCTAAAGGCAGCATGGCATGCCAGAAAGGATTGGGTCAGATAATGGGACAAATTTCTGAAACAACCTCATAGACACCTGGGCCAAAGAACATGGCACTGAGTGGATATATCACATTCCCTACCATGCACCAGCCTCTGGGAAAATTGAGAGATACAACGAGTAGCTAAATATAAACTACACTGAGAGCAATGGGTGGTGGAACTCTCAAATACTGGGACGTGCATTTAGCAAAAGCCACCTGGTTAGTCAGTCCCAGAGGCTGTGCCAAGCAAGCTGGCCCTGCTCAATCTAACCTCCTACATTCTGTGGTTAGGGATAAAGCCCCCACAGTGAGCATTAGGAATGTGTTGGGGAAGACCATCTGGGTTACTCCTGCAGTGGGTAAAGGTAAACCCATGAGTGGGATTACTTTTGCCCAAGGACCTGAGTGCACTTGGTGGGTGATGCAGAAGGACGGAAAAGTCCAATGTGTGCCTCAGGGAGATTTGATTTTAGGTGAGAACAGCCAATGAACTGGACTATCAAATAACCCTGTTATTGCCATTGGTGCCTCGCAACATCCCCATGCCACATCCTAAGTCTCCTGCTCCACCGACTGAGCCAACTCTGCCTCAATCCTCAGCCTTATAGACTGTCATAACAGATGGAACCTGAAGTTATGGACCAAATGAACTCAGAAGATATTGTGGAAGAATGGCCCACAGACTAAAGGAATAATATCTGTGAGACTTGGGCAAAAGAGGTTGTGATTCCTTAGGGTGTCTTTGGAACCTGAGTACAACATCAATGGTATGAAATAAGGGGTGGAGACTGTCCTGGTTTTGGCCAGGATAGAGTTAACTTTCACTGGGTTGAGAGGGAGCACAGCTAGAGGGTCAGTCCCTATCAGACATTGGAGTATTTCATACCATGTGATGTCATGCGCAAGGATACAGGTGGGCGCAGGCTCTCTCGAGTGGGCTCAATTTTCAGATTCCTGTCCAGTTGTGTGTTGCTGGGGGGGCATGGGGGGTGGTAGCTCCACTTGGTAAGACACTGCTGCATTTTGCCCATTTCTTTTTGGACTCACTATTGTTACTGTTGTTCTCTTGTTACATTTATCAATTTCTTTCTATTCAATCTACGAATTTTCATCTTTTTGTCCCTCCCCTACTTCACTAAAGAGGAGGGCGGTGAACAGCCAGCCATGACGCGTCTGGCTGCCAGCTGAGTTCAAACCTCAACAACCACAGTACCGATTAATTTTCTTGTTGAACTTTTATTCTTAATAAAGCCTTTTTATAACACTGAGTAAATGTCATCATCACTGGTTTACAGCCCACAATAAAAACCCCCAACATTTAAAAGTCACAGATTTCTTAAGAGGAGAGAAAAATAATGTACAAATTTAACTCAAACTGAAAAGAAAAGCAGCTCCTTCAACCGTAACCAAGTCAGGACACTTCACAAAAAGATGCCTTCTGCAAAATCTTCAAAGAAAGGTTGTCAAGACTCCTAATGTAACAGTCATGTTAGAAGCAGAATTTTGCTGTAGCATGCCTTAGCACTTCTTTGTTGCAAATGCCTGGACTGGGGGATGGGAAGGAAGAGTTCTGATGTGTGATATATGTGGTATCCTTTCTCTAACAGCCGTGTTAATGTCTATTCAGAGATGAACTAGATCAAATTCTAATGAAGTTCTTGAAATGGGACAGGGCAGCTTTTTCCATGTCAACCTACACAAACCCTGTGCTGTGAAATCTTAACTTCCAAGGACTTAAGGAAAACCCTAATACTTTCCTACTTAAAAGTTAAAAATACAAGTATGACTGAAACTCCCTAATAGTTCTATCTATGCCTAAGAATTAAGCTTCGAAACTAATGAAAAAAGGAAAAGATTTTAAACCAAAAAGGAAATTCCTATGCTGTAAAAGCTGTACTACACCAAGAAATATATACAAATATATATGTCAGCCACTCCTCAACTATTGTTACTAAAAGTAGAAATAATAGTTTTCTTTCTGAAATCTAGGGCAGTGGAGAAACGTCTGCTCTCAACAGATTTGAAAAAAACCCCTTTAAAACATAACAAGAAGCAGCATATACAGCGAGCGTGATATCCTCTAGAATACAGACTAAAAGACTTTAAAAAAACCCAGAAACTTGAACAAATGTAAAGGCTTTTCACAACCTGAGGTAAACCCTGGGAAGACACTTTAACATTCCATAACTGAAATGTTTTGCAGGAATGATAACGAAAAAATCATGATAGATCCTAATAAAAACCTATTATGAATGAGTTCTGGGTGTTGAGCCATACACAGAATCACAGAATCATCTACGCTGGAAAAGAACTTGAAGGTCATCTAGTCCAACCATTAACCTAGCACTGACAGTTCCCAACTACACCAGATCCCTCAGCACTGAATTGACCTGACTCTTAAACACCTCCAGAGATGGGGACTCCACCACCTCCCTGGGCAGCCCATTCCAACACCCAACAACTCCTTCTGGAAATAAATAATTCCTAATATATAGTCTAAACCTTCCCTGGCACAACTGCCTCTTGTTCTATCGCTTGTTACTTCGTTCAAGAGACTCATTCCTACCTCTCTATAACCTCCTTTCAGGGAGCTGTAGAGGGCGATGAGGTCTCCCCTCAGCCTCCTCTTCTCCAGACTAAACACCCCTAGTTACTTCAGCCACTCCTCCTACGACCTGTGTTCCAGACCCTGCACCAGCTCCATTGCCCTTCTCTGGACACGCTCAAGAAATTCAATGTCCTTTTTGGAGTGAGGGGCCCAAAACTGAACCCAGTCATTGGGTGCGGCCTCACCAGTGCCAGTACAGGGGTCAGATCCCTTCCCTGTCCCTGCTGGCCACGCTATTGCTGACACAAGCCAGGATGCCATTGGCCTTCTTGGACCCCTGGGCACACTGCTGGCTCCTGTTCAGCCGGCTGTCAATCAACACCCCCAGGTCCCTCTCTGACTGGCAGCTCTCCAGCCACTCCTCCCCAAGCCTGTAGCGCTGCTGGGGGTTGTTGTGGCCCAAGGGCAGCCCCCGGCATTTGCCCTTATTGACACTCACACGGTTGGCCTCAGCCCATGGCTCCAGCCTGTCCAGGTCTCTCTGCAGAGCCTCCCTACCCTCGAGCAGATCAACACTCCCACCCAACTTGGGGTCATCTGCAAACTGACTGAGGGTGCACTCGATCCCCTCGTCTAGATCATCAATAAAGATGTTAAACAGGACTGGCCCCAAAACCGAGCCCTGGGGGACACCACTCGTGACCAGCCGCCAACTGGATTTTACTCCGTTCACCACAACTCTTTGGGCCCGGCCATCCAGGCAGTTTTTTACCCAGCAAAGCGTGTGCCCATCCAAGCCATGAGCAGCCATTTTTGCCAGGAGAATGCTGTGGGAAATGGTGTCAAAGGCCTTGCTAAAGTCAAGGTAGACAACATCCACAGCCTTTCCCTCATCCAATCAGCAGGTCACCCTGTCATTGAAGGAGATCAGGTTTGTCAGGCAGGACCTGCCTTTCACAAACCCATGCTGACTGGGCCTGAGCATCTGGTTGTCCCACATGTGTTGTGTGATGGTACTCAGGATGAGCTGCTCCATCATATTCCTGGGCACCGAAGTCAAGCTGATAGGCCTGTAATTTCCTAGATCATCCTTTCAACCCTTCTAATATATGGGAGTTACATTGGCCAATTTCCAATATGTCGGGACCTCCCCGTTCAGCCAGGACTGCTGGTTTAATGATGGAAAGGGGCTTGGCGAGCACCCCAGCCAGCAACTTCATCACCCTTGGGTGTATCCCATCCAGTTCCCTAGAGTGATGTATGTCTGTGTGATGCAGTAGGTCACTGACTATCTCCTCCTGGAACGCAGTGGAGCCATTCTCCCAGTCTCTGTCTTCTGGCTGAGGAGGCTGGATTCCCTCAGTACAACTCGTCTTTTTATTAAAGACTGAGGCAACGAAGGCATTAAGCACCTCAGCTTTTTCCTCATCACTCATTGCCATGTTTCCTTCTGCATCTAGCAGGGGATGGAGGCTCTCCCTGGTCTTTCTTTTGGTGTTGAAGTACTTACAGAAACATTTCTCATTATATTTGACTGCTGAAGCCAGATTAATTTCTAGTTGGGCTTTGGACCTCCTGGTTTTCACCCTGCACAGCCTCACAGCATCTTTGTAATCATTGTGAGCAGCTATCCCAGGGTTTCCCACATTATCTTAATGAATCTACAATACTTCCAGAAGTTCATTTTGCTTTCTTCCTACAAATTCCTTTTAAAAGTCTTTCTAGAGTTCATGCTCAACTGTGTCATTCAAAGACAGTGTCTTCACAACACACGTGGTCTGTGTTTGCCCTTCAAACATATTATTTCTTACATTATTGTTCATATCAATTTCAAAATATCATTCTATCTTGAACTAAGTTTTCAAAAACTTTGATTTCAGATTTCTTCAGAAATTAAATAACATATATTAAACTATTTTAAAGGTAACTCATTACATGTAACACTTACCTGTGCAGTTTCTGTCATTTTCTGTTCAAAATCAGATTTAAATGCAGCGTATTTCTCCACATACAGTTTATAGGTATCTGTAGCTTTTTTGGATTTAACCGCTGCCTGTAGACCGGTACAAAAAAGTGTCAAATGTCACACATACAATCTGATCCATGTTTTTTAAAGGCACTATTTAAAGAAAGCCTAGGATGATCTATAAAAAGTATTCAGGGGCATATCAAAACAGTGAAGTGTCATAACAAAATTTCACCACCAAATAACTCAGATTCCAGCCATGACATGTTTCTATTTAAAGTTATACATTAACCACATAAAAACGTAACAAAGCAACTACCTCATTTAAATCCCCTCCCTTTATCAGCAATGACATATTTATAACATACTTATTTTCTAAAGAAATTTGTATTGCTGAAGTTAGCTAATTAGCTTCTGTCAAATATTCAGATCTGCAAGAGAAAAACATGATGAAAGCAGGGATCGAATACAGAGCAAATAGTTATTTGTGCAATTCTGAAAGAGTCCACTGTAAAAAAAAAAAACCCAAAACACCAAAATGTCACAGTTCTCTGTTAGAATTGAAGAAATTAAAAAGTACAGGTATTACATCAGTGGAAATTTTAAGATTAAGAGATATTTGAAAGTGAAATTAATACAGAACATACTGATGGCCAGATGTATGCATCTCAGTGTTGTTTATAATAGTCTTGTTGGCTTTATAATTTATAGATTTTGTTTTCATTATTTATTGCTAATGAACCAATATAATCTTTCTGGGAATTTAATATTCTTAAAATACAAGACAATCCCAATACTACATGGAGAACAAAACTGAATGAAGTGATTTTTTATGGTTGAGAAAAAGTTATTTGAAAAATTTACAGCATGACACAAATGAGATGGGAGTTTTTCAAACTTCTGATATTCTTGCTATTTCCAAGTTAAAAGCCAAAGAAAATAAAAATAATCTTGAACACCAGCTTTTTTTCTAGCTTATTTGTTCAACATGCCTACATTATCTCATTGAATTTTTCCATCAGTTGTAACTCAGAAGTATTCCTGAATTATTAATGACATCGGTAAAGACAGCTATGTATTTAATATTTGTTCTAGTTCTGAATAACTCTTCTCCTCTCTTTCAAAATAATTTCATCTGACTCATAGTAAAACCAGAAACTATTTCTGACTTGCAACGACTTGTAAAGCTGACCACTATCTAAAACTTCAAAAGAATTAATACAAAGATGCCCTCTGGAAAGACAAAGTTATATTCTGCAATTTCCAAGAGAAAAATAACTGAAAATCTTGAGTAAAAGAGTAAAATTATAGCATTAGCACTTGTTCACCTGGGGAAACATCAATGAGGACTTCAAAGGAAGATGAACCAAAGCTACATTTCTTTTTTTCCAGTTACAAGAAAGCTTAAACAGATCTTAGTCACATAGTTTTCTAAACCCAGCATAACAGAACCTGAAAATACTTCACTGTATGAAGATTATGAATCTTTCAGGCATTAAAAGAAGAGCATGGCAGGTTTTATCAAACCCATCAGTTACTTGTCCTCAGTTTTACTTCTCATATTCTCACTCTTGCACATTCACACAGGGGAATTACCAATAAGAAAACAGTACTATTTGTCTCCCAAATGACATTGACTATGCTGAAAGTTCAAGGTGCTCTATGAACACTTGCTTTTAAAAATAGTTAAGTCTGTTCCGCAATAAGATCATTCCAAACTTAACCATTGAAAATTAAAGAAATGCCAAGATAAAATACTTCAAAAATAAGTTTTTTCATAAAGCATTATGTAATTGAACCCCATATGCATGAGTTTCCATCTCTTGTAATTGTGTTTAATGATGAGCAGAATCTGAGTGTTACATGCTGAAGAGCATCTACAAAAACCAACTAATCAGCAGGACAGACAAAACAATAACACACTTGAACATTGTATGATTAATTAGTAATCTCTTCTGAAAACAAGATGTGTCAATTCTCAGGTGCAGCAATTGCTACAACGCTATTTAGCAGATTTACAGTAAGCGAAAGAATAAGAATCAGTCAAGAATTTTTTGTCAAGTCACTATAAATAGAGAAGCTCACATGTCAGAGGACAACAGGAAATTATTACACAAGTTAACACTAACTTCCAGCTGCAATTAAAATGGCAAGGTCTCAGATATCTCCTCAGATTCTTCAATAAAGTACTTCTCCAAATATGTGGCTTTGTCATAAACTTTTAGCATACTGGTGCAGATCCCCTGCTTTCTGATAAAGTAGTTACCCTGCAATTTTGATAGAACACATTCTTCATGTGCTAAAAGTAATAAACCTATTCTCTGACTAAGGAAAAATAAATTGTTATCTTTGTCACCATGTTTCTGAAATTACAAGTGTAAATTTGAATAAAGACATGACTGAAGAGATATGACAGTCAGTTACCTGCTCCCACTGGCAACAATTTTAAGTGCTTACAGAGCACTCAACTATGGCCTAATTTTCAAACAGAAGTATCTAGGCAAGATGCATAAAACAGTAAAAAAAAAGCTACATCCTATACTGTTTCCTCTTTCTCCCTTCTCATGTAGATGTCAGTCAAACTGCTTCCTCCTTCTCTGCTCTCATGTACACATCAGTCAAACTGACTGTTATTTTGTATCCAACTGAACAAGAATAATGTTACATATTAAAAACAAGCCTTCTATCAAGTCAGCTTCTCCTACTGAGAAGTTTCAATCTATTTACAAGAATTCAGAATATTTATACTTGGAATAGATTGGCAGAAAAACATGTCAAGAATCCACACTGACTCATTTGCGACAGAAGCTGGGAAAAAAAGCTAGATTTATATTGAAGTTAAAACAATCAGAACATGGTCAACAGGATCACTTTTGTCATCAGTGAAAAAGACAATAACCAACTCTTATCTGCTCCAAGATAGTAGTATAAAAGGTACTAAGATCATTCTAACAAGAAGAAAGTCCTACAAAGATCAGGTAATCAAAATGGAAATAGACAAAGGTATCAAGTTTAAAAAGTCAGACACACGGAAACATGTCCTCTTTCCTCTACTACTTAGTTTCCTGGAAAGAGGAGAATGTTACAGTGATGCCAGCTGGTCAAGGGAAGCGATCCTTCTCCTCTGCTCTGCACTGGTGCAATCGACCTGGAATACTGTGTCCAGTTCTTGGTTGTCCATTGCAGGAGAGACATGGATGTACTGAAGAGACACCAGTAAAGGGCCACAAGATGATGAAGGGACTGAAGCATCTTTCCCATGAGGAAAGCTGGGAGAGCTGGGACACTTCAGTGTGGAGAAGGGAAGGCCCAGGGTGGGGATCTTATATATAGATACAAATATCTGAAGGGAGGGTACATAAAAGACAGACCCAGGCTTTTTCCAGTGGTGCCCAGTGACAGGACCACAGGCAATGGGATAGACTGAAACATAGGAGGTTCCCTCTGAACATCAGGAAACACTTTTTTCCCATGAGGGTGACTGAACAGTGAAACAGGTTGCCTAGAGAGGTTGTGGAGTCTCTACCCTTGGAGAAATTCAAAAGCCATCTGGACACAGTCCTGGGCACCTGGCTCTAGCAGCAGGGTTGGACAGGGACCTCCCTTCCAACCTCAGCTATTCTGTGATCCTGTGAATGGATCAAACTCTACCATAGCCCAAGGACAGTACTAAATATAGCATCAAGATACTCATCTCGTGGGTTTTTGCACCACGAAACTGGAACCTTTTAGGTTAGCATTGGAAGTGATGCTAACTTGTTTTTTTTCTCAGTGGAACAGACTTCCAATACTCTTCTAATTAGCTACTTTCTCTCACTGAAGGGGCAACACAAAACCTCCTCAATTCAATAACAAGGGCATTGAGTGTTCGTCTATTTATCTAAGGAAATTTATCCAAAAACATAACAGATGCTGAAACAATTATATGCCATTTCTGTAAAAGCCACTAAACAAAATTATCATATGATGCAGGTATTTACAAAGTAATGACTGCAGTGCAGTTAGAACATAACTAGATCTTCAAAATATCATGCACATTACAACATAGCCACAACTACTGCTTTTATCTAGCCCTTTCTGAGCATTTCACTTACTAATACAAGGTGAACATATTACTGATGGACAACACAATAAATTAAATTACTATGTCACAGAACTACCTTATCAACTTCTCTCTGTGTTGCTCCTTCCTTTTTCAAACGTTCTTGTTCCAGACACTTTGTATTGTAGTTTTCCTTTGATTTCTGTAAGGCCTGAGTGATACTTTGAATATTTTGCACTGCTTCCAATGTTCCTGAAACATCTTCTTTAGTCTGCCAAATATCACATGGTTGTCAAAACCAAACCACTTTAATTTTAATGTTAAGTCATGGACATGCATAAGAAGAAAATTAATAACCTTTTTATAAGCTTTGATTTGTTCATCTCCATACTTATGAACTTCTTTTATTAGCTCTTGCAATCTCCGCACAAGATCCAAGTGACAGCTTGCTAGTTTTTCTGTTGAGGTTTTGAAAACATCCCAAACTGGTGCAAATGTCCTAGATAGAGGGAAAAAAAAAATTAAATGTTAATGTTTCCCTTTAGTTAACTGTGATTTTTTAAAATAGTGTTACAGTATAATTGACAAGTTTATAGAAGTTCACTTCTGTTCCTTAAACTGAAACAAAAAAAGCCCCAACTGCTATAAATTCTCATTAAATAGGTTTCAAATGTACTTGGAATCCTATCTACTAATTTCTCCATGCTTTATGTTTCACCTGTATTGACTCTAAGTGAACTTTGTTGTGTTTTACTCATTAATATTCTTTATCAGCAGCGCACAATAATGCCAAGTGGTATTCCTAAAGATAATGCAAGAGAAGCTGAGAATAATTCAATGTATAGAAGTGTTTTTATGTGTATGCTTGAAGAGTGCAAGCATATCAGAAATTATTTGGTTAGTTAAGTTTCTAGTTGTCATATCATTACAGCCACAAGATGCCAGAAAAAAATCCTAGCAAAGATGGTCTGCCACTAAAAGGGATTTACTGATTAATAGAGATTAACCATATGGCAAAGGAAGGTGGAGGATAGGTCATTCCTCTGATTTGGATTTCTATGTTGAATGGACTTCTCCAGGTATTCTAAAGATACACTCACACCTCAGTTTCCTGGTTAATGCTGCTGAAAAATCAATACTATACATCGCTTTTAAAGCACCAATGTTCAAACTAACATGCAGATACAGAACCTTTGGAGAGTAGCAACAAATGGTATCAAATTACCCACTGATGAAAGCTCCCCACATTTCTAGCTGTAATTACTACAAATAAAAAAATCTAGCGTCATCTAAGAAGTCTAAGTTCTCACCAACATAATGTTTCTAATGAAAAAACACCCATTAATCATTCCATTTTTTTAAAAGATACCCTTGTATAAAACTTGAATTAAACTATGGAATAACTCTACTGAAAAGTGCCATTCTTAACATCTCTGAAGACAGAGGTAACACTTCAGAAAGCAGAAATAATATAAATAAATAAATTTATTGCCACATTTGCTGACCATATGTTCTCTCTTTGGAATAATTACCACAGGTTTGGGAGCACAGAACAGAAAGTCACATTCTTTATTATATCTGAAAAGAACTCAACCTTAAACACAGAGGAACAGACACTCTCTCCATGTTAGGGCTTTGTGGCTTTTTAAATTGTGAATAAAGAACTGTACTATCTTTGTTTTTGTTACAGCTTCATGATATTTCGCATGGTTACTGAAGAACTAACACAATAATTTTTAAAGGTGGCAAAGTTATGTTACCTCCAACATCATCAATAAAATATTCAGAATCAAACTTGACTCTAACATTTATGAAGTTACCTATTTCTCTCATATGTACAATTACTTACCCAAGTTGTGTGTAATTGCTTGCTGATTTGGCTAGTTTTGTCATTGACCTTGAATATGCCTCCTCTATTGTAGCCCTGTCAAAGAAAGCCATGAAAAGCATAATCGAAATTTTGAAGATATTTAAAGACAGATGAATACGCATTCTAAAGGCACAAACAGAGAACTTTTTAATTTAGGTGAAAATTACTCCATTTTAATGACCCCTCAAAAGCTATATACAGAAGTATATTTTAAAAAAAAAGATCTAAGAACCCTGTGACAGAATGTCGCAGGGAACAGAGACAAGTAAAACCTAGGGACTTAAGACTTGAAAAAGATTAACTACTTCTTTCTATACTCTCTGATGTTCCCCTCTGCCTTTACATTCTTTAGTAAGTCAGAACAAAGTGACATAACAATCACCTGGCTAACACTGTCTAAACATCAGAGAGTTACAGAGCAACAGATTAAAATGTATTTGTAATGAAAACATTAAAATAAACAAACTGAATGCTTACTGAGCAGTCAAATTGAATAAAGTGGGATCTTGACTTGTCTTTTTGTTAGGGGGGGTGTTTTTTTGTTTAAGTTCTTTGTATAGTGATGTTTAAGCTTGTAAAACAGTGAAATAACATGCAATGAAAAGTATTGTAATTTACTGTTTATACTAATTTTTAAAGTCTCAACGCATTTTAACTTATTTTGGAAAACCTCTTCCCTGTATAAAGTTTCATTATATTTTCTTGCACTCAAACCCACAATTTTATGTCTTTTGGCAATTTAAAATCCAAGAGTCAGTAAAGATTTCCTCCTTAAAGTCTCTGCTGGGGCAATTGCCACGGAATAGCAGTCCTTCCCACATCAATCGTCCTCATCCTCCTATAACTAAGGTAAAGATACACACTATTTATTATACATTATTATCTGCTACTGTTTTTTTATGTGGGCACCAATGACACAGCCAGGAGCAGTCTGAGCAGTATCAAGAAGGATTACAGAGCCCTGGGAATAGCTGTAAGGGATGCTGGAGCACAGGCAGTTTTTTCATCAATCCTCCTGGTCAAAGGGAAGGGTCTGAAAGGGCCAGGCGATTCCGGCAAATCAACAATTGGTTATAGGACTGGTGCCACAGCCAAGGATTCGGCTACCTGGGTGAACCTCAGTCCATCCCACTCCTACCAACTTGATGCTGGTGTCAGCAGTGAATGCCCAGGGCCTGAAAAGGAATCACAGGTCAGCAAGAAAACACTTGAAGAGCAGCACGGGGGAGTTCCAGCGTGTAAGTCAGCTTCACTGGGGACCCAACTTAAATGCCTCTATGCAAATGCATGGGGAACAAACAAGAGGAGCTAGAGATGTGCACACACTTGCAGGACTAAAATGTTACTGGCATCACAGAGACATGGTGGGATGGCTCCTATGACTGGAGTGTTGGAATAGAAGGATACAGACTCCTTAAGGAGGACAGGCAGGGGAGATGAGGAGGGTATGTCACCCTCTATGTCACTGACCAGCTGGAGTGCATGGAGCCCTGCCTGGGGATGGATGAGGAGCCGACTGAGAGCTGACTGTGGCTCAGAATCAAAGCGGGAGGGCAGGGACAGGTGACAATATAGTGGCGGGTCTGCTACAGGCCACCCAACCAGGAAGCCTGAGCAGATGAGGCCCCCTTCAACAGACAGGAACAGCCTCACATTCACAAGCCCAGGTCCTCATGGGGTACTTCAACCACCCCAATATCTGTTGGAGGGACAGCACAGTAGGGCATAAGCAATCCAGGAGGTTCCTGGAATGCACTGATGATAACTTCCTTCTCCAAGTGACAGAGAAGCCAACCAGGAGAGGTGCTATGCTGGACCTTCTTCTCACCAACAAGGAGGGGCTGGTGGGAAACGTGAAGCTCAAGGGCAGCCTCAGCTGCATGACCATGAAAAGGTGGAGTTCGGGATCCTTAGGGCAGTGAGGAGGGTGCACAGCAAGCTCATGACTCTGGACTTCAGGAAAGCAGGCTTTGACCTCTTCAGGAATCTGCTTGCTAGGCAGAATAGATTGGGATAAAGCCCTGGAGGAAAGAGGGGCCCAAGAAAGCTAGTTAATACTCAAGGATCAACTTCCCCAAGCTCAGGAGTGATGCATCCTGACAAAGAGGAAGTCAGATAAAAACAGCAGGAGACCTGAAGGGATGAACAAGTAGCTCCTGGACAAACTCAAACATAAAAAGGAAGTCTACAGAGAGTGGAAGTAAGGACAAATATAGAGAGACTGTAGCAGCCAGGGGTCAGGTTAGGAAGGCCAAAACCCTGATAGATTTTAACCTGGCCAGGGACATCAAGGCCAACAAGAAAAGCTTCTATAGATATGATGAAGATAAAAGGAAGATGAGGGAAAATGTGGGCCCTCTCTGGAAGCAAAAGGGAATCTGGTTACCCGGGACATGGAGAAGGCTGAGGTACTCAATGACTTGCTTGCCTCAGTCTTCACCAGCAAGGGCTCCAGCCACACTGCCTAAGACATAGAAGGCAAAGGTGGGACCTGGGAGAATGTAGAACCGCCCATTGTAGGAGAATTCTGATCAGGTTCGAGACCATGTAAAGAACCTGAAGGTGCACAGTTCCATGAGACCTGATGAGATGCATCCATGGGTACTGAGGGAAGTGGTGGATGGAGTGGCTAAGCCACTATCCATCATATTTGAGAAGCTGTGGCAGTTTGGTGAAGTTCCCGCTGACTGGAAACGGGGAAACATAATCCTCGTTTTTAAAAAAGGGTAAAAAGTATGACCTGGGGAACTACAGGCCAGTCAGTCTCACCTCTGTGCCTGGCAAGATCATGGGAGCGGATCCTCCTGGAAAACATCCTAGAGCACATGAGGAATAAGAAGGTAATTGGTGACAGTCAACATGGCTTCACTAAGGCCTGACAAACTGGGTGGTGTTCTGTGGCAGGATTACAGTGTGAATAAGGGAAGAGCAACTGATGCATCTACCTGGACTTCTGCAAAGCATCTGACACTGTCCCACATGACATTCTTGTCTTTAAATTGGAGAGAGTATTGGGTTTGTGTATGGCGGGGTTTTGGTAGCAGGGGAGGGGCTACATGGGAGGTTCCTGTGAGACACTGCTACAACCTCCCTGGGATCTGAGTTGGACCCAGCTCTGGCCAAGGCCAAAATCAGCAATGGCAGTTGAGCCTCTGTGATAACTTATTTAAGAAGGGGAACCTGCAGCAGAGAGAGGAGTGAGAAAAACACTTATGCAGATACCAAGATCTGTGAAGAAGAAGGAGGAGGGGGAGGTGTGCTAGAGCAGATATTCCCCTACACCCTGTGGTGAAGATCATGGTGAGGCAGGCTGTGCCCTGCAGCCCCTGGAGATCAGCGGTAGAGCAGATGCCCACCTGAAGCCCATGGAGGACCTCATTCTCAAGCAGGTGGCTGCACCCAAAGAAGGCTGGGACTCTGAGGGAAGGAAGCCTGCGCTGGAGCAGTCTGTTGCTGGTAGAACTGCAGCCCATGTAAGTGACCCACGCTGGAGCAATTCATGAAGACCTGCAGCCCATAGGAAGGACTCACATTGCAGTTCGTGGAGGACTGTCTCCCATGGGAGGGACTCCACTCTGGAGCAGAAAAGCATGAGGAGTCCTCCCCCTGAGGAGGAAGGTATGTCAGAAACAAGTGATGAATTGATTGCATCCCCCATCCCCTGAGTCACTGCTGGGGAGGAGGTAGAGAAATCAGGAGCAATGCTGAGCCTGGGAGGAAGGGAAGGATGGGGAGAAGGTGGGGTTTTTTTAAGATATGACCATATTTCTCACGTACTCTGAAGCTGATAGAAGCTCTACTTGCTCAAATTAAATTTTCCTTTTTTCCCAAATAAAGTCTGTCTTTTGCCTGTGACCATATCTGGTGAGCCATCCTTCCCTCTCTTTGTCTTGATTCCCGAGCCCCACCAGGTGGGGGAGGAGTAAGCAAGTATCTGTGTGGTGCTCAGTTGCTCTCTGGGCTTAAAGCACAACAGAGAGACGTGGATTTGATGGATGGCCCACTCAGTGGATAAGGAAGTGACTAGACAGTTGCACTCAGAGTTGCACTCAACAGCTCAATCTCTTAGAGGAAAACAGTGATGAGTGGCATTCCTCAGGCGTCAGTGCTGGGGCCAGTGCTGTTTAACATCTTTATTTGCAACACGGACAGTGGCATTGAGTGCACCCTCAGCAAGTTCACAAACAACACCAAGCTGTGTGGTGCAGTCGACACGCTGGAGGGAAGGGATGGCATCCAGAGGGACCTGGGCAGGCTGGAGAGGCAGGCCTGTGAGAACCTCATGAAGTGCAACAAGGCCAAGTACAAGGTCCTGCACATGGGTCAGGGCAATCCCAAGCACAAATACAGGCTGGGCAATGATGAGCAGATTGAGAGCAGCCCTGCAGAAAAGGACTTGGGGGCATTAGTGGATGGAAAACTGACTATAAGCCAACAACATGCACTCACAGTCCAGAAAGCCAGCTGTATCCCGGGCTGCATCAAGAGAAGTGTGGTCAGCAGGTCAAGGGAGGGGATTCTGCCCCTCTACTCCACTCTCATTGAGACCCCCCCTGCAGTACTGTGTTCAGTAAAACACTGAAATTTTAATGAAAAATTCCAGAAAACAAAAGCTGGTTTTCTGTACAGCTTTTACTGCAAGAAACCCTCACTGAAACAGCTCCTCAGTCAATCTCATACAATTTTTTTCTGTATGTCATGTGGTGTCAGTAACTGAATTAAGACAAAATTCTGAAGCAGACATACAATTAATTTTGTCCAAAATGAAAATTCTTATGTTCAACATAGCATCAGCAGTTTTCTTTCACAAAGAAGAACTAAATACAGCACTAGGTCATCTTTTTTTGAATTTTTCACATATGCAGATTTCAGTTCTGTCCCATCCCACAGAGAATGTGTTATTTTCTTCATATTATTTTCTTGTCCCTATTTATCACTTTGTTTTCTTTAAAAAACCTAGTTTCTCAACATCTTCATTTGAAAGTACATATTTTTTAAGATTATACTAGCAGTTGCTAATACACTAATTCCATAGCTGTAGTCAAAAACTTTGTGAGACTGATGATTTTGGCTACTTTAAATTATTGGTTTTCTTCCAAAAATGATGAAGAATTGGGATTAATAAACTGCTGGACACCTAATATGACACTTCCAACTTTTTACTCTTTTTTTTTTAAATTCAAACCTGAAAAATTAGAAGCTTGTTCTTAATTGATGCTTAAGAGTCACTATTCAGTTCTAAGTGGATGGAATAAACCTAGATATTCTTGCAGGATACTAAGAGAAATTTTTAAATCCTCACTGATTTTTACATATTTTGCATGTTACTGTTAAACATAACAATAAACTTAAATAAAACCCACAAACAGTATATTAAAGATCCAGGATTACCAAGGATGAATACTTACCTCTCTCTTATAAAGTCTGCTAAGTCTTTTGTTGACAAATGTCCATGTTTCATGTTGTGATAGAGGACATCAAAGCCATTGTTCCTTTCCCCCTAAAGACAGTTAAAAGAAGTAGAACTATGAAACACAACATGCTAAAGCAATTACAGAACCAAGTATAAAGCCTATATTTTAGTAACTGATTGAGTTTCATAAAGTGAATGATTTCTAATGCTTCATGTTTTTACCAATTGCTGTTAGTTCCCTTCAATCCCCTCATGTAAAACAAACCATCATCACCTCAGCAGCTACTAATACCCTTCTAATGACAATTCTTTTATTTCATATTTCTAGGCTATATTCAAAGACATTTCTTTTCTAGATTTCTTGTATTCTAGATTTTTTTTTATTCTTTCACTTTCTGTCAATAAATACATACTTAATATTGTACTCTCTCTTAATTTTCTCATACATTCATTATTTTCTATTAACTAAAATTCACACTTTGGGATCACTGGATATCCCACTTCTCCAGTTCTTCACGCTTAATGTATCTTCCTCTATTTTCTTTAAAACTGGTTAAAAAATCACTAATCTCTGCCTTCTCAGGTAGCTTCCCTTTGACTATTTTTAAATTTAGTTTTGAAACTTAAAACATTTTTCAGTGAGTAAGTTATACCTCACCATTAAAACTGAGACACTGCATTAATAAACTCAGCCAGCTTATCACCTCTGGCACCATGGTGAATTTCCTCTGGAAAGGAGATGACTAACAATAGAAATTAAAGGAAGGTGAATTAAGGAACAGCGTAATAATAGCACTGCTACTATAAAGGTTCTCCTGTCCAATATCCATTCCCCTTCTCGCTTCCAAAAGCTTCAGATCCATAATACTGCTGCTACGAAAGACGCAGAAGCACACCCTCAGGAAAACTGCATGCCTGTTTAGAGTGGAAGGGAAAGAAGGATTGAATGGAATATTTCAGTTGGAAGGGACCTACAACAATCATCTAGTTCAACTGCTTGATCACTCCAGCACTGACCTGAAGTTAAAGCATGTCCAAATACCTCTTAAGCATTAGCAGTCTGGGGGCATTGACCACCTCTCTAGGAAGTCTGTTTGTGTTTGATCACTCTCTTGGTAAAAAAATGCTTTCCAGTGTCCAGTTCAAACCTTGCCTGGTCCAGCTTTGAACCATTCCCATCTGTCCTACCACTGGATCCCAGGGAGAAGAGCTCAGCACCTCCCTTTCCATTTTCCCTCCCCAGGAAGCTGCAGAGAGTGATGAGGTTGTCCCTCAGCCTCCTTTTCTCCAAACCACACAAACCCAGACTGCTCAGCTACTCCTTATAGGACATGCCTTCTGCCTCTTTCACCAGATTTGCTGCTCTTCTCTGAAGGCTTTCAAGTACCTTAACACCCTTCTTAAAATCCTGGACTTTTCAGAACAGCAGCTCTATATCTGCAGTGAGAGAAGCCTGAAGATTTGGTGATAGACCCCTCCAAACACTTCTTTCTGTTCTGGAAAAATTTGTTTGTGTATCCGTAAGGTGCACCTGATCAAGGAAATTATACAGATGAAAAATAATGCTGGCAAACAAAAACAAAGATCGATGATCCAGATCACTGTGAGGACATAAACAGTTGCACTGCTCAGCAGAAGAGGTGGGAGCAAGAAGGATCTGCTATCTTAACTCAGTGGAAGCAGCCACAGGTGGACTGAAGAACTTTGCAGTGGCCATAGCAGTAGGCCCAATTCTGTTAAGTGTTAACTACACTAGATAACCCATCAGTAAAAAATATAGCAAGTCACCTTAAAGCACATCACACATAGACACTGAAATTTACAAATAACAGACAAATGAAGGTAATCTGATTCAGATTACAAATCAGGATTCTTTGCTCTACTTCTTCCAAACATCAGGGAACATAAAGCCAAACTAACAGAAAGAAAACACACCTATAAAAATCACAGTTCTCAAGGTTGCTGTAAGTTGTAACCTGAAAAATTTTATCAAAATGCAGATCAGTTTAACGTAAGTACAATGAAGAAAGGTCTGTAAAAAGTACAAGCAGAACTAAATTAAATACTTTAAAATACAGTGGACTCTAGAAGGACCAGCTACAGAGTAAGACTTTTATATGTTTGCAAGACAAAAGAAGAGTAAGAACACCAATTAGTAGGAAATACACCTGTTTGACAGAATCTCTTGGGAGATGGTCCTGAAGAGTATAGGTGTTCAGGAAGGCTGGGCACTCTTTAAGAAGAAAGTCTTACTGTCACAGGAGCTGGCTGTCCCCAGGTGCTGTAAGTGATGCGAGCATCAGAGAAGACCACCCTGGCTAAACAGGGAGCTTAGGCTGCAACTCAAGGAGAGTTTTCAGCCTTTGGAAGAAGGGGCTAGCCACTCACAGTGATTACAAAGATGCTGTGAGGCTGTGCAGGGCGAAAATCGGGAGGTCCAAAGCCCAACTAGAAATTAATCTAGCTTCAGCAGTCAAATATAATGAGTAATGTTTCTGTAAGTACTTCAACACCAAAAGAAAGACTAGGGAGAGCCTCCATCCCCTGCTAGACATAGGAGGAAACACGGTAATGAGTGATGAGGAAAAGGCTGAGGTGCTTAATGCCTCAGTCTTTAATAAAAAGATGAGTTGTACTGAGGGAATCCAGCCTCCTCAGCCAGAAGACAGAGACTGGGAGAACGACTCCACTGCGTTCCAGGAGGAGATAGTCAGTGACCTACTGCATCACATGGACATATACCAGGCTATGATATATCCGAGGGTGCTGAAGGAGCTGGCTGGGGTGCTTGCCAAGCCCCTTTCCATTATTTACCAGCAGTCCTGGCTGACTGGGGAGGTCCTGACTGACTGGAAATTGGCCAATGTAACTCCCATATATAAGAAGGATCAGAGGATGATCTGGGAAAATACAAGCCTGTCAGCTTGACTTCGGTGCCCAGGAAGCTGATGGAGCAGCTCGTCCTGAGTACCATCACACAACACATGTGGGACAACCAGATGCTCAGGCCCAGTCAGCATGGGTTTGTGAAAGGCAGGTCCTGCTTGACAAACCTGATCTCCTACAACAGGGCGACCTGCTGATTGAGTGAGGTAAAGGTGTGGATGTTGTCCACCTTGACTTTAGCAAGGCCTTTGACACCATTTCCCACAGCATTCTCCTGGCAAAAATGGCTGCTCATGGCTTGGATGGGCACACGCTTTGCTGGGTAAAAAACTGTCTGGATGGCCGGGCCCAAAGAGTTGTGGTGAACGGAGTAAAATCCAGCTGGCAGCTGGTCACGAGTGGTGTCCCCCAGGGCTCAGTGTTGGGGCCACTCCTGTTTAACATCTTTACTGATGATCTAGACGAGGGGATCGAGTGCACCCTCAGTCAGTTTGCAGGTGACCCCAAGTTGGGTGGGAGTGTTGATCTGCTCGACGGTAGGGAGGCTCTGCAGAGAGACCTGGACAGGCTGGAGCCATGGGCTAAGGCCACCTGGGGGAGTATCAATAAGGCCAAATGCCGGGGGCTGCCCTTGGGCCACAACAACCCCCAGCAGCGCTACAGGCTTGGGGAGGAGTGGCTGGAGAGCTGCCAGTCAGAGAGGGACCTGGGGGTGTTGATTGACAGCCGGCTGAACAGGAGCCAGCAGTGTGCCCAGGGGTCCAAGAAGGCCAATGGCATCCTGGCTTGTTCCAGCAATAGCGTGGCCAGCAGGGACAGGGAAGGGATCTGACCCCTGTACTCGGCACTGGGGAGGCCGGACCTCGATTCCTGTGTTCAGTTTTGGGCCCCTCACTCCAAAAAGGACATTGAATTTCTTGAGCGTGTCCAGAGAAGGGCAACGAAGCTGGTGCAGGGTCTGGAGCACAGGTCGTACGGGGAGCGGCTGAGGGAACTGGGGGGGTTTAGTCTGGAGAAGAGGAGGCTGAGGGGAGACCTCATCGCCCTCTACAGCTCCCTGAAAGGAGGGTGCAGAGAGCTTGGGATGAGTCTCTTTAACCAAGTAAAAAGTGATAGGACAAGAGGGAATGGCCTCAAGTTGCACCAGGGAAGGTTTAGACTTGATATCAGGAAGCATTTCTTTCCAGAAGGAGTTGCTGGGTGTTGGAATGGGCTGCCCAGGGAGGTGGTGGATTCCCCATCCCTGGAGGTGTTTAAGAGTCAGGTCGACATAGCACTGAGGGACATGGTGTAGATGGGAACTGACAGTGTTAGGTTAGTGGTTGGACGTGATGATCTTCAAGGTCTTTTCCAACCTAGATGATTCTGTGAATGTAATTTATTTTTTTAAATGTATTACTCTTTCAAGTACTAGTCTAAACTAGTTAAACATTTTCACTCCCCTTTCACTCTTATCTAACCATTTTTCCTTGTAGTTTGAAGCACACAATAATTTTGAGTACCGGTGAACTTATAGGTAGCTTACTAACTTTGTGTATTTACACAATCTAAACCCTGAATCCTACCACATTACAAAAACACCAGAATAACTATAATTAAGACCTCACCAATATTTTCAATTAGAATACAAAATAAAGTTCTTATTTAACTACTCCAACGTTGTTACTGTAATCAAAATTGGAGATAAACACTGACAAGTATTAAGCATTTATTCCGGAAATTAAAAAAATTCTCCTTTATGAAATGTTCTCTCCCCTCTCTTTGAGGTGTTTCTTCTAGCAAAACCAACACATAGATCAAAACGTGTTGAACACAGACTGCTTCTGAACTTTTCACAATGGGAGCTTTAATGGGCACTTTTCTACACTGGAGCTCCACAAATTTCCTGCCAGCTTAGAAATACAGGAAGGGTAGCATAGCCATGAACCAGTCAGTCTCTGGCTGCAGCCTTCCTGAAGGCTGATAAACCATCAGAAATATAACTCTGCAAACCTTTAGAGAATGGAATGAGCCAGAACAACCAATTCTCATCATCACCTTGTTCCCTAACTATAACTGAAAGTCACTGCAAAGGAACTCATTTTTCCACTTAAATTAAGTTTTCTAATCAGTCCTACTGTCTTCACATTGAATAGCAGAAAGCACAACAGAGGAACAGAACAGCTACTTTCCTCAATTAAGAAAAAGTCTCCTGGAAG